AATTTCGATAAATTATTCAACGAAATGTTTTATACTTTGGGTCAACATACATCCATGGCTGTCCTCACAAAGCCTGTTATTTTTCTCACTTCATCTATGGATAAAATGGATAGTACCTTAAGCAAAAAAGACAACATACTTCTCATCAATCAAGTCAAATTTAGAGTCAGAAACTACTCTCGAGTGTCTTAGTTGAAGTAATTTGAGTTGGTATATAGAATTTAGATACGTCATTCTATGTGTGAAAGGATGCATGATTTAATTTATGATTCCTGGGCAAAGAGAAAAAATGTCATGATATCAATTGAAGCACACAGTAGATACATAATATTGAAAGATAAAACTCATTATATATATATATATATAAGGATATTATAAAATGCATCATAACAATATATATATATATATATATATATATATATATATATATATATATATATATATATTGTTAGGGGATGTATTAATTAATTAGACATTGACAAGTTGACCACCAAAAACGACTTCCAATACTCAAAACCATCAAAATTAATCATTTACTACAGCCATAAGACTTTCAACTTTGCTTTATTTTGTTTGAATGAGAATGGGAAAACAAAGTAAAGTTTAGATGTAATAAATGGATATATAGTCACACTTATTTTGATACAGTACAGTACCAAGAAGCAAACAACTAAACACAAATTTTTCTTTTTCTCCTTTTTTTTTCTTAGAGAGAAAGAGAGAGAGTATGGCGCACATACATCCAAACTATATGAACTATTTTTTCTCTTGATTCTGATGAACATGAACTCTCAGAAATATAGATCATCATATGATGGGGTACTTCATACGCCTTCCCTTGCCTTTGGAGCACAAGCCTTCACAGCATCTCCCACGGTCAGGAAGATCTTGTCGCGGCCGATGATCTCGATGAACCCAGAGGAGCGCAGCTTCTGGATCACCGCAGCCCCAGGATTTGCAAGAAGAAGCTGAGGAATCATGCTGTTAGTAGTAAGCTATTTGAGTTCGACAGTGATCAGCAGAAGCTCTATGGACTCTTACTAACCTGAACACCATGCTTTTGGAGGGCAGTGTGCAAGTCTTCGAAAGCGTGGATGCCGCTCGTATCGATGTCGATCACCGCTGTGGAGAGAAAGGATTTGATGGGAGAAGACAAAGCGCTCATGAGCGAAGCCCTATATGATTTGTTGGCAGTGATACAGGAGAAGAGAATTGGAGAAGAGAAGAAGGCATGCATAGAACTTCTTACGTGACAGTTCTACTATCAAGAACTCGATCATTGGCAGGTTTTTGGCTTTTATTTGCTCCACTTCGTCCTTCAGCCATCTCAAGATCCTGTATATCACACAAAACTAACGTCCTGTTCAAAGTCTCTACGTAGTTTTTATATATTGGGTTGTCGAACGTCATAGTGCATGCGAGGGAAAGTTTTTGATGATCGAGTACTTCATATGCTTTCAACTCTTGTGTAAATTCTAATATAATACTCGTGAATCATGTTTAGCATCAGCCGTAATGTGTGTGGTAATAGGGCTTATAGGAACCGATACCTCTCCCTTGCATAATTGGAGTTGGTGAAATAGATGGCAGAATCAACTCTCACGATGAGAACTCCTGGAACTTTGATCGTCTCTGGATACTGCTCAACGTTTCGGTAAATCTCAGTTCCTGGAAGATTCCCGAGCAGGGCTGTTCTTGGCCTCGTCACCTGTAACAGGATCTTGGCAAAGGATATCATCACCTGTCATGGATTTGATCCAGCTCAGCATTCCCGTGCAGATTATACGAAACATTCAAGAGGAGAGCAGGTGCGTTCTCACGGCGATCAAGAGGCCGATCTCGACGGAGATGAAGACGACACCAAAGAAGGCTCCCATGCATGCAAGGAAGTCCAACTTATCGACCTTCCATATGAGATACGCTGTTTGGTAGTCAATTAGGCCGATCACAGCCGAGATGATGATCGCCGCGAGGACGGCGTTGGGGGTGTACTTGAAGAGGGGAGTGATCACCAGCAAGGTTAGCATCACGGTTACGGACATGACGATGTTGGATACTGCTGTGTGGCAACCAGCCATGTAATTGACTGCCGAACGCGAAAAAGAGCCTGCCAATTCAAGAAACCATATCAATGGCGTGGATTTGGAGGAACTCAGAGGAATCCAGCACTTACCTGTTGCAATGTAGCAAGAAGTCAATGAACCAGCCACATTCATGGTTCCCAGTGCCAACATCTCCTTGTTTCCATCCAGTCGGTAGTCCTTCATGGCAGCGAATGTTCTTCCAATCGCTATTGCTTCCTGTTGATTTATAGTACTCAATATATATATATACATATACAAGACATATAATGATGCATTGTTGAGTTCCAGAATTGATTTAGGGTACCGTCAGGGCTATAAGTCCAGCCACTATTCCAATCTTGAGTCCTTTTGTTGCATATGAGCCACTGAAGTAGATCTCTCCGGCAGATGATGGGTTGATGCCTTGCTTTATGTGTCTCACCTGCACCAAAATTACAGATCAATCCAACTGCTAATGATCGATCGATGAAGTTTGCCGTTGCTTTAATGGATATCTACTAACGATCTGCACGCCGTGCCGGTCGGCGCGAGTTATATACACGAAGAAGGTTGCAAGAATAACTGATACGAGTGGTGCAAGTGCAGAAACCCAGAAAAGGTTCTTCCTCTTCTTTCCCTGCGGGAATCAAATAGGGTGAGCAGTAGATGATGCAAAGGCTTCCTTCACGGACGAGAATGAGTACTTACAATGTACTTGGCTACGAGAAGGAAGGTCAGAAATGCTGTGGCTATCAGTATCGTCTGCCAATTCCACTAAAAGTTGGACGCGATGGAGTCAGCACCGAGGTATAGCAGATGAATCAGAAATGGGGTGGCATATAGTTTCTTACACCGTGATGAACGGGACGCCAAACGGATTTCATGACGGATACGATGTCGGTCTTGGTGGTGAAGTTTTTGATACCGAGAAATCCTTTGAGCTGTTGAAGCGAAATCGTGACGGCGGCGCCTGCCATGAATCCGACGATGGCGGCATGAGAGAGGAACTCGATGAGGAACCCTAATCTGCAGCATGCAAACACAAGGATGAGAGAGAAGACAGACGAGGTTGCCAACATATCCAGACGTTCCAAGGTTGGACCTGAAGAAACCGAGAGCTGCTTGGATGACGCCAGCGAAAAATGTGGCCGTGAAGGCAAGTCTTAGGTACTCTTCGGGGTTCTTCACGGGATCGATCTCGTTTTGAAGTTGGGTCCCCAGCAAGAGCGAGACGACGGCCACCGGTCCGATAGCGATGTCTCTCGAGCTACCCATCACAGCGTAGACCAGAGGTGCAACGAAGCTGGTGTCTGCAACAAGGATCCGATTGAGAGGGATCAAGAACAAGTCTTGCATGACGCAGATCATCACGGGTGTGACAGAACTCACACAATGCGTACTGTGGTTCCAAGTTTGCGAGCTTCGCGTATGCGATGTCCTGAGGGATGCAAAGACTTGCGATTGTGAGCCCGGAAACAACATCTCCTTTGAGCTTAGCGAGATCGTAGCTTCGTCCCCAGTCAAGGATGGGAAACAAGTACTGAAGGCCAAGTAGGAACTTCATCGATCTCGTCTGCCCCTTGTAAGGCCGTAAAGGGTCGTCGGCGAAGAACATCTCCTTCACTTTGTGGGCAAACTGCGACGCCAAGTTCATCCGAGGAGGGAATCCAACGCTGTAAACAGATGGAGAATCGTCGATCGTCTCCATGTTCATGTTCTCAGCAACGTCGGAAACCGAACGGCCCATCAGTAGATTTGCCTATGGAGAACAGAGATGAGGATGAGAGCACCATCAGGTAGTCAAACAAAGAAATCAGCATGAACACATATTTGACATGGAAAAGAACAGGAAACCCACAGATTCACGAGGGCTGTTCCAACTGTTTCACACAAGATTGAAGTTGAGTTCAAAGAACATGCATCACTGCAACGTATGAAGATTGTGAAGTGTGGAAGCACCTTATAGAGAACTGCAGCTGCTGTCCAAATCAAAAATGTCAACGGGTAGCAATGCTGAATGTGGACCAGAATACAACCATGTTCAGAACAAGGAAATAAGCAATGGTTTATGTCACCAGGCAACTAATTCCTGCACACAGTTGCATATGATAAGCTTGTAGGTCAAACTTCTGATCCAAGTCTGGGAATGAAAACATTGTGGATCTGGACGATATACCTGACACATTCAAGATCAAGATAAAGCAAGATGAGAAATAAATAAGGTCAAAGAACTTGATCTACAGGTGCATGACTTGGAGTTCCCTGGGGATGAACCTAAATACTTGGTTAGGAATTGAAGGAGGCAGTTGACTTGTAATAGACAAATGCAGGGAACAGCTCAATCAAGGAGCATATTGACGTTGTTTTCTGATGTCAACTGAAGCAAATTGACAGCGAATCAAAGGATATGTTCTCTGATTGTGATCGAGACCTCCATAAATCAAAGTCAAATATCACAAACAATTATAGCAGGGTAATACATTTCGGCTCTGTGAATGTTTCTTCATGACCTTTGGATGAAGTTGGCGTTATCACAGACAACAAGTGTGAACTCCTTTCTTGTTCTTATACGGATATTTCTTTGGCACACTTATTCCTCAGAACAAATGCGAAGGATGATGACTCAAGATGATGAAGATGTTTGATATTAACTGATTTATAATTAATTAACTAGAGAAATTTGATACATATTGTTCTCTTGATATAATCTTAGGTCTCAGAATATCTATTCCAATTGTAGATGTGAATCATGACCCAAAAGTTGGTGCCCATTTCACTCATGTAATGGTTCCGGTAGTTCAGAATTAAAATGAAACTTATATAATCCATGGGTTATAATTCAAAAACTAGGTAAGGAAGAAATTGAGGATTAAAAAAATTTTTTATTTCATTTCAAAAATCAAGGCAGAACGACATTCTTCCCCCACTATATATATATATATATATATATTCCGAAGTAAACGAAATGTAGCTTATAAAATCAACTTCTATCATTCTCAGATCAAAACTAAGAATATAAAATCTTCCACAGCTACTCGCCCGTTAATGTTTCGACACTTTCAAGTGGAATGTGTTCTTTTATCTAATCTTACACTTAACTTTTTCGTCCCATCCTATCCTCACTTCTCCGTTACATAATCTTATACTTAATTTTCCCATGTCCACGTATCCGCACTTCTTTGATATCTAATTTTACACTTAATTTTCCCACCTCGCCCTATCCGCACTTCTCTGATATGTAATCTAACACTTGCTTTCTTTGTCTTATCCACACTTCTCTTTTACGTTCAGATTTAACATCCAATTATAATTCTCTTTTTGTATTTCAAATTTATAAAAAATAAATTATCATCTCATAATTCATAATTAAAAAAATATATTTGAATTTAATCACTATCTTTACAATACTAAATATTTTTAAATGAAAAAAATTCACATCTTAATTGATCATTATTTATTAATCATATAAATTTTAAAATTAAAATATTATATGCATCATACAAATTATAATAATTATAATATCAAATATTTTAAAATATGAATAAAAGTTAGTAACAGAAAAATGAAATATCATACCTCTTTTTAGGGAATTCTCTCCTAAATCCTTCCGTTGTCAATAAAAAATGAAGAAGGAAGAGTCACTTTATATAGGAGAAGATGGTTTCTTTCTAAAAGATAAATAATAATTTAAATTTTATTTTAAATTAATTTTTATTTTACTTTCATACACAAAAATATAATTGTGATATTTATTCTTATGATTCACACACAAAAATAAAATTTAAACTATTCACTGTCTATGAATCTCATCAATTATTAGAAAATAAGTTAATTTATAATTTAATTAATTGATAACATTATTAATTTATCCACATTAATTTTAATTATTTTCTTAATAATGCTAAATAAATAAATAAGTTAATAATTAAAATAAAGTAACACATTTTTTATAATAATTTAATTTATGTTAAGGCAAAAATAATCAATTATTATATTCCTGTCTACTTAACAAAAATTTAATCCCCAAATTTGATATAAGGAATGATATTAATTCAACACAATTTACATTTAAAAGACTAAGTCAAAAAGATAAATCTAAATCAACTTAAAAATATTTAGATTAAATGTACCACTTGAAAACTTTAAGTCAAAAAATAGATTAAAAAATTGAGGAAACTTATTTAATAAATTTGGTTTTAGATCACCCATGTAAAGTGATAATTAACAAGCATATAAAAAATACATCATTAGAATTTTTAAATTTTAAAAATTAAATGGTTGTTGACATAAAATAAAAGTTGAGGCTTCGTGTGTAACTCAATAAACAAAAACAATTGAAAGGATAAAAATTTATCCAACTATTCAACATATATTATTTTATAATTCTAAACAATTTATATATTTTATGTGTTAAATAATTAACATTATATTTAGTCATTGTTAGATCTCATCATTGCATTAGACAAATGATATCTAATAATTGATGTGACATATTAAATCAAAACTTTATTGTCGCACATATAATTAAATTTAAATATCAATGCATGATCAAATTTATTTAGTAAAAGAACATATATTATTAATGCCAAGAAACATCTTCATGTAGACAAAGTAACCTAACATATGTCAAATCTAATCTTAATTTAAAAAATAATATTTGATATAAAAATTCATAAGCATAAATACTTTTTAATTTATATATTTATGAAAGACTCTACAAAATTTTTGTACTTAATATTTATCAAAATTTTTACATTTGAGAAATCAATTAATACCAATAATTATCTTCAATTAGTAAAACTAAACATGTTAACAAAAAAACGTTCATAATAATATAAGGCAAAAGTGAGGAAGAAAATCAATCATCAACCCTAAGTAAACCACATAATTAAGTAGTAAATTTATTCTTATAATTTCTTATTGAATTTATCCTATTCAGAAGTATAGACAAAAATAATATTTCAAGGCAAAGGCTAACAATATTCAGAAAGTAATATGTTAAACTATAATAAAAATTATGTCAAACTTCATTCATGTATAATCTACCAAAAATTTATAATAAAATTATACAAAGGAATTCTAAATCCCCAACATGAATAAACTATAGTTGAAAAACAATATTATAACTCTCACTAAATAATTTTTTAAATAAAAATCTAAATATTTCATAATAAACATAAGCCTTATATAATGTTTCCAATTAGATTACCAAATTATTTAAAAAAAATATATTAGATATAAATCTAATATGTATGTTTTCATAAATAACCAAGTAAATTAACAAATACATCTCAAAAAGGAAAGAATGTAACATTCTGTAATCAAATTAATAATTCTTAATAACTTTTCAAAAAGTGGATAAGAGTATCATGGTAAAATTATATTCAAAATGTAAAATTTTATAATAATCTCTACAATAAAAATATTATAACACTTATTATAATTTAGTGAATATATATTAAAATTTTGGCCCTCTACGTAGTAATCTCTGTTCAAGTCATTTAATGAAGACTCTTTTTAAATAATCTTTTAATTAATTATTTTTTATTTAAAATAAATTATAATCGATTCAATAAAATGATCTTAATCTCTAAAAGCCCTTTAGTTGCACTCTTGAATCAACACAAAATTTAAACCTCAAAAGTCACTCGGGTCATCTAATATACAAATATTAGAGTCTCATATTCCAATAGGTTTTCAAAACTATTATTTTGATGCCATTAAATTATCACAACCCCCTTTTTTTTAAAAATAAATTATTATTTCATAGTTCATAATTTATAATTTTTTTATTTTTGAATTCAAATATCTATTTTTATAATATTAAATATTTTTGAACCGAAAAAAATTACATCTTCTTAGTAGGGCTACAAGTGATGAAAAAATCTCATTTGTCAAAGACTCAAATCAATTACAAAGTAGT